TGCAGTTGGTGGTTTTGATGATTCTCTTCCCTTGCAATCAGCAGAGCGATATAATCCACAAACAAACACATGGAGTGTTATATCAAATATGAATTGTTGTCGAGGTGGAGTTGGTGTTTGTACCATGGGAAGAATGGTATGGGCTGTTGGTGGCCATGATGGTGGAAGTTACTTGAATACCGTCGAGTATTATGACATACAGGCAGACACATGGCAGTTTGTTGCTTCAATGGAAGTTGGTCGTGCTGGAGCTGGTGTTATTGCATGTAAATGTAATATTGAAAAGTTTGGCAAAACGTATGCTATGGCTGAAACAGCCATGGTGTAAAGCCAGGCTTTAATGCAGTCAACCCGCCAGGGAAATGGCGTCGTATGAATGACATTATTACTGTATTTATAGTCATGAATATTGGCATTTGCACATAGCAACATAGTAATTTGCTTCCCATCTCACTCCTATACAGTGAGCTCGATATATATATATATATATATATATATATATATATATATATATATATATATATATATATATATATATATATATATATATATATATATATATATCAGACAGAAACAATAGAAAGGGACGTCCAATAGTTCTTCAATTTCCGCTTCACTTTTTGGACTCGAGTTCTCTCTACAATTTGGAACGGTTCCAAAATCTTGCACTACATATGCATTTATTAGTATTTCTTGATACGCGGAAAAGTACTGGCACTAGTTGTCAAATAGAAATCCATTTTATGATTAAAACAACTGAATATCTCCTGTAATATACTTTATTTCGATTCCATATTTTTGTCAGAGCTATAGTTCTTATAACCAAACATAATTACAAAATTTCAACTAGTTTCATAAAGAATAACGAAAGATATAATTGACTGAATACATCAAAATGGATTTCTATTCGGACAACCCTTTCTGAGCGCTGATTGGCTAAAATACGAACACGAGATCACCTGGTATGCTACACAGACACAAAATACAGACTGTAACAGCTCAACAACTGGAGTTATATTAATAGTTTTGTTTGTGGAAACACCACGCAAACATACAAAGAACTTATTAGAGTTATATTGTTCGACCATAGTTAGGTTTGACTTTCACAAAGCCTTTGATTTGATAGATGATAATATTTTAGCGAAGAAGCAGCCCCCACCCTCTCATACGCCTATGTGCACGTGTACCTATATTTAAATTCGCGTAGTACTACTGTACTTTTAAGGAGTAAGTTGACACTTTTGCAAATAATATTTCGTCGTAATCATACTCTAGGAGTAGGATAGTATGAAACTACGTTTTTCCTATATCTCTGAGGATGGTTCTGAAATAGAACTGAATCACTGCGCGTCTCCAAAACAAGCGTTAAGTCGTCACGAAAATATTTTGTGCACTTAGACCCCGTTTACACGGTACCGGACGAATTTGGGACCGGTCTGAAATTCGTTCTTTTCGGCCGTGTAAACACACGAGAACTACGGAACCGGACGAATTTGAGACCCCTAACAGACAGGACGAATTCGCGTGTAAACAGGCGAAAAAGGACGAATTTCAGACCGGTCGCAAATTCGTCCAGTACCGTGTAAGAATGGCTACCAATCCCCGTTGACTTGATAGCTCAACCAAATTTCGTTGTACTCAGGCACAGAACACAGATGAGGTAAATACAGATATGAATCTCCCCATTCTCCCGTCAAATTGCTGATTGTTTTGTGTCACACGGAATTCGCACTTCCGGCGAGCGCTGGCAAGTGTCGTTCTGAAACAGGGCTCTCAGTTTTAAGGAAATTTCCTTAAACTGAGGAAATTATCAGTTTTTAAGGAGACTTTTAAGGAAATAGAAGTTTTAAGGAATTTCTAAGGAATTTTTAGTTTTTACCTAATATTTGAAAATATTGAAATAATATTTAAAAATTCAGTCAATTTAGCTGTATTTATGCAAAAACGCAGGAAATGCAGTCTTATGCATTCAGGACTGCAAAAATTTTTCGAAGGAAGATATTCCTTGACCAACAATGTGAAATCCCTTCTGGCGATGCTGCTCAAAATCCCAATTCCCAAATGAGACAAAAATTCTGGGAACCTAACTTTGTAATTGCAATCGACCAGAAGAAAGTCACGGCAGTTATTCTTTTGGACATGAGTAAAGCCTTTGACAGCATTAATCACAATATACTTCTTGCTAAATTGGAGGATGTTGGCGTTTCACCTTCATGCCTGACTTGGTTTAGAAGTTATCTGAGCGAAAGATATCAAGCAGTACGCATAAATTCTACTCTATCTGAGAAATTGCCAGTGGTTAGTGGTGTCCCACAAGGAAGTATTCTCGGTCCGTTGCTCTTCAGTATTTATGTCAATGATCTACCGTCTGCCCCTAAAACGTGTTCCTCTGAATCGTATGTTGACGATACTAAACTCCTTCTGTCCTTCCATATCAATGACTCTAATGCTTGCTCTGGTTGATCTGAATGAAGACTTAATTAGAATTCGAAATTGGTGTTTCGACAACTTGCTCTTGCTCAACCCAGGCAAGACCAAATTGATGGTCTACGGAAGTCGTCAAATGCTCGCAAGGCTACCTGAATTTAGACTCTCACTACTCGGTAAAGAACTAACACCTGCTGCAACAGTCAAAGATCTGGGAGTTACGTTTGACCCAATCCTCTCCTTCGACAACATATCCTTTCCACCGTCTCGTCCTGCAAATCAAGCCTCTGTCAGATAAATCGAGCTAAATACGCCTTCAATAAAAATCTGTTAGTAACTGTAATCAATGCTTTGGTTTTCAGCAAGCTCTACTATTGTTCTTCACTTTGGTCAAACACTTCCAGCAGTAACCTATCCCGCCTTCAAGGGGTCCAGAATTTCGCAGCACGAGTAGTGACGAATACAAGAAAGTTTGACCACATCACCCCGATTCTAAAGGAAATGCAGTGGCTTCCCGTGAAATTGCATCTCTACTATCGTGATGCTCTACTAGCCTTCAAATGCATGAACAATTGTGCCCCCAACTACTTGTCGTACCAGTTAATAACCAGGGCTAGAGGTGAAGTGAGCTCTCGTGAGACACGAAATGCACGAAGTCTGGATGTTCCATTGTACAAAACAGCTACTGGACAAAGAACATTCCATTATCGAACTGTCACTCTTTGGAACAACATTAGCTTTGTCTTAAAGCGGCAGTGTCACCCGCTGCGCATCCGTTCTGCGCATAACAAACCGATTTTCGGAATATGTCGGAAGGTCGGAATCACAACATTCCGACTATAAAAATGTGCATATATTCACATTTTCAGCGACGGAAAAGACCAAATAATTGCTTCATTTCACGCAGGTTAACGTAATTGTTGTAAAAGTTCATGTGCCACCAAAAGAAAGAGAACAGTAACCGAGGTTGCCCGCGTAAGGCAAATATTAAAGAACGTTGTGTATTCTGCCAGCTGCAAGTACGTGGAGAACTCGCAAAACTCCTCAGCCTCCTTGCAAGAATAGGGTAAGTGTGCGAATCAAATGTATTTGACGGTATCTTTTATTTGTGTTTGCATATTATACCACATTATATTTACTGTTTATCCTACTTTGTTGTAGGAGAACGTTTGCGAAAGTACCATGTA